TCCCCCCCATTGGTGATAGTGTTAGAGCACCCCCTATCCCAACTGCAGTGTAATTACCCCCTGCCATTGTTGATATCAGTGTTAGAGCACCCCCTATCCCAACTGCAGTGTAATGACCCTCCCCCCCATTGGTGATAGTGTTAGAGCACCCCCTATCCCAACTGCAGTGTACTTACCCCCCTCCCCCCCATTGGTGATATGAGCGTTAGTGCACCCCCTATCCCAACTACAATGTTATTACCCACTGCCATTGGTGATATCAGTGTTAGAGCACCCCCTCTCCCAACTGCAGTGTAATTACCCACTGCTATTGGTGATATCAGTGTTAGAGTACCCCTATCCCAACTGCAGTGTAATTACCCCCTGCCATTGGTGACATCAGTGTTAGAGCATCCCCTATGCCAACTGCAGTGTACTTACCCCATTGGTGATATGAGCGTTAGTGCACCCCCTATCCCAACTACAATGTAATTACCCACTGCCATTGGTGATATCAGTGTTAGAGCACCCCCTATCCCAACTGCAGTGTAATTACACACTGCCATTGGTGATATCAGTGTTAGAGCACCCCCTATCCCAACTGCAGTGTAATTACCCCCTGCCATTGGTGACAGGGCCGTCTTTAATTCTGATTGGACCCTAGGCAAGCATTAACTTGGGCCCCCTGACTACATATAGATACACACAAATACAAAACCTGACACACATGCAGATACACACTGACCGCATATAGATACACACAAGAACATACAGATACACACAGACTACATATAGAACACTGACACACAGATAGACACAAACACAGATACAAAACCTGACAAACATGCAGATACACAGATACAAACACTGATACATGCAGATACAAAGGTACACACACTGACTACATATAGATACACCGACACACACACTGACACACATACAGATACACAGATACACAACCTGACACACATGCAGATATACATATACAAACACGGACACATACAGATACACACTGACTATATATAGATACACACACAAACACAAACGGACAACATACATATACAAAGGCACATTCTGACAGACGTACTGTGTCAGAGACACACACAGACAGCCATACTGAAACACACATACACACAGACATACAGAACCACATGGACACTGACAGACTCACACATAGACATACTGACAGACATACAGACATTATGGCACACATACACACAGACAGACATACTGAAACACACATACACACAGACACTGACAGACGTACACACATACAGACATTTTGACACTCACAGACAGCCATACTGAAACACACATACACACATACATACTGAACCACACAGACACTGACCGACTCACACACACACAGACATACTGACACACTGACAGACATACTGGCACATATACACACAGACGGACATACTGAAACACACATACACACAGACACTGACAGACATATTGACAAACACAGACATACATAACCACACATACACTGACAGACTCACACACACAGACATACTGACACACTGACAGACATACTGACACACTGACAGACATACATACATACTCACACACACACAGACACTCATGCAAACTTTGATAACCACCCTCCAGTTTCTTACCTTTTCCTGGAGGGTGGCTTCCCTGGGGTCCAGTGGGCTGGCTGGGGTGGCTGGGAGTTAAGCTCTCCCGGCCTGGCCCCCTCCGGAACAGCTCCTTCCTCCTGCGCGGCTCGTTTCTGTGGGAGGAAGTGACGCGCGGCTATCGCTTCCTCCCAGTGCTGCCGAAAAAGCAAGGGCCCGACCAGGCCCCTGCTGACACAGGTCCACCCGGTGGCCCTAAGTGCATGGGCCACCCGATGGGCCCCCATAGTTTGCGGGAAGAGGGCAAAAGGAGCAGCTGTCTTGGGCCCCCAGCAGGGACAGGGCCCGGGGCAGCTGCCCCGATTGCCCTGCGTTAAAGACGGCCCTGATTGGTGATATGAGCGTTAGAGTACCTCTATCCCAACTGCAGTGTAATTACCCCCTGCCATTGGTGATATCAGTGTTAGAGCATCCCCTATCCCAACTGCAGTGTACTCCCCCATTGGTGATATGAGCGTTAGTGCACCCCCTATCCCAACTACAATGTAATTACCCACTGCCATTGGTGATATCAGTGTTAGAGCACCCCCTATCCCAACTGCAGTGTAATTACGCCCTGCCATTGGTGATATCAGTGTTAGAGCACCCCCTATCCCAACTGCAGTGTAATTACCCTGTGCCATTGGTGATATGAGCGTTAGAGCACCCCGTAACCCAACTGCAGTGTAATTACCCCCTGCTATTGGTGATATCAGTGTTAGAGCACCCCGTATCCCAACTGCAGTGTAATTACTCAGTGCCATTGGTGATATGAGCGTTAGAGCACCCTGTATCCCAACTGCAGTGTAATTACCCCCTGCCATTGGTGATATGAGCATTAGAGCACCCCCTATCCCAACTGCAGTGTAATTACACCCTGCCATTGGTGATATCAGTGTTAGAGCACCCCCTATCCCAACTGCAGTGTAATTACCCCCTGCCCTGCCATTGGTGATATGAGCGTTTGAGCACCCCCTATCCCAACTGCAGTGTAATTACCCCCTCCCATTGGTGATATCAGTGTTAGAGCCCCCCCTATCCCAACTGCAGTGTAATTACCCCGTGCCATTGGTGATATGAGCGTTAGAGCACCCCCTATCCCCAACTGCACTGTAATTACCCCCTGCCATTGGTTATATGAGCGTTAGAGCATCCCCTATCCCAACTGCAGTGTAATTACCCCCTGCCATTGGTGATATCAGTGTTAGAGCACCCCCTATCCCAACTGCAGTGTAATTACCCCGCGTACACAGGATATGAGCAATAGAGCACCCCTATCCTGAATCGCAGTGTAATTACACCCGTGCCATTGGTGATATCAGTGTTAGAGCACCCCTACCTAACTGCAGGCACTACCCGCGCCATTGGTGATATGAGCTGCTAGAGTTACCCCCTATCCCAACTGCAGTGTAATTACCCCCTGCCATTGGTGTATACATGAGCGCTAGAGCACCCCCCTATCCCAACTGCAGTGTAATTACCCCCTGCTATTGGTGATATCAGTGTTAGAGCACCCCGTATCCCAACTACAGTGTAATTACCCCGTGCCATTGGTGATATGAGCATTAGAGCACCCCCTATCCCAACTGCAGTGTAATTACCCCCTGCCATTGGTGATATCAGTGTTAGAGCACCCCCTATCCCAACTGCAGTGTAATTACCCCCTGCCATTGGTGATATCAGTGTTAGAGCACCCCCTATCCCAACTGCACTGTAATTACCCCCTGCCATTGGTTATATGAGCGTTAGAGCATCCCCTATCCCAACTGCAGTGTAATTACCCCCTCCCATTGGTGATATCAGTGTTAGAGAACCCCCTATCCCAACTGCAGTGTAATTACCCCCTGCTATTGGTGATAGTGTTAGAGCACCCCGTATCCCAACTGCAGTGTAATTACCCCGTGCCATTGGTGATATGAGCATTAGAGCACCCCCTATCCCAACTGCAGTGTAATTACCCCGTGCCATTGGTGATATGAGCGTTAGAGCACCCCCTATCCCAACTGCAGTGTAATTATACCCTGCCATTGGTGATATGTTAGAGCACCCCCTATCCCAACTGCAGTGTAATTACCCCGTGCCATTGGTGATATCAGTGTTAGAGCACCCCCTGTATCCCAACTGCAGTGTAATTACCCCCTGCCATTGTTGATAGTGTTAGAGCACCCCCTATCCCAACTGCAGTGTAATTACCCCCTCCCATTGGTGATATCAGTGTTAGAGCACCCCCTATCCCAACTGCAGTGTAATTACCCCCTCCCATTGGTGATATCAGTGTTAGAGCACCCCCTATCCCAACTGCAGTGTAATTACCCCCTGCCATTGGTGATATCAGTGTTAGAGCACCCCCTATCCCAACTGCAGTGTAATTACCCTGTGCCATTGGTTATATGAGCGTTAGAGCACCCCCTATTCCAACTGCAGTGTAATTACCCCCTGCCATTGGTTATATGAGCGTTAGAGCACCCCCTATTCCAACTGCAGTGTAATTACCCCCTGCCATTGGTGATATCAGTGTTAGAGCACCCCGTATCCCAACTGCAGTGTAATTACCCTGTGCCATTGGTTATATGAGCGTTAGAGCACCCCCTATCCCAACTGCAGTGTAATTACCCCCTCCCATTGGTGATATCAGTGTTAGAGCACCCCCTATCCCAACTGCAGTGTAATGACCCTGTGCCATTGGTTATATGAGCGTTAGAGCACCCCCTATTCCAACTGCAGTGTTATCTCCACATTGTGTGCCATTCGCTCCAAGTGGTGCAATGGCCCAATCAAAGGCTTCTCTATGAAACGCATTTGATTGGACCACACAAAGGAAGGTGTGACATCAGACGAAGTATGGAGAGCAGTGTGGCAAGCTTCTCCCTGCACTGGATTGCAGGTAAGTTTTATATTATCTAGGGAGGTTTTTATTGCAAATCAGGGGGAGGAGGGTGGTGAATAATGCCCAATAGGGCACATTATTTTGAACAACAATGAAAAACTTGTAGTAATCCTTTAAGCACACTGTCAGGGGGCAGGAGTGTCCAGGCATCGGCTTGCCTTCTCTGCCACTGCCGTATGTAGGAGGTGGAGTCATTGGTTGACCATAGAGATGGGGACAGCGGTGGACAGACACTCCTGTCCCTATAACTGAGCTCAATTTGTAATTGGGGTGGGAATACCCCTCTAACTACCCTAAAAGGAACAGAACTTTTGACCAGCCCTGGCAATGCCAATCAAACTCTGGCCTTAAGTGACCTCACATGTTAAAAGTTTAGTGACTGGCTAATCTCTTAAGAACTAGCCTGCATATTTTTTTTCTCATATTTACATCTGAAGATTAGACACATCACCTATCTCTAATGTTAAAAAAAAAGCAATGAAGGGGAGTCATTATGCAAATACATTCAAGATGGCTGCTCGGAGTGACCCATGTGTCTTCTCTGGCTTTACTCAATAACCATAGTCTGCCCATCACCATCCACACGTCTTCGAATTATAAAGCATTGTTACAATATATACATTGTACAGTTCTAAGTATTTAATTTGCTAAATTTAAAACAATTACCCTTGTGTTTGCATCCCCAAAGGATTGTTAATTTTAGTCAGCAAATTTTATTTGTAGCTTTTCTTAAAATAAAATACCAATTTCAGCTTCAAACAGAAAAAAGAACATCAAAACAGATTTTCACAATCTTAAAATAAATCAGGAAATGTTCCTAAAAATTCTACTAACAATGCATAACAGGTAGTGCTTAAACCAAAAAGCGTTCGGGTTATTGTACTCAGCAACTTAAAGAAACAACTCAGTATTTAATCTAACATTTTGGGACGTTATTTGTTGTTTTTTAATCAACTTTGTCACTAAACAACTTTTATAAATCTAATGGCTTTTGACCAAAATACTTATAGGGGATGGTTTTCATTTGCAGCCTTGAGTGCATCTCTCATTCAGATTTACACATTTGGTGAAAGGAACACTTTATAAATGTGTTTGTCCTCAGTTACAAAGAGATATTTAGGTCAGAGAGAGACAACAGGAAGAGGTGAATTACGGGTTTGTAACAGATTGCGAGAACAAATACTATAAAGAGTAAAGTTATTGGTAAAGTGTCTCCTAGATAAAGCTGGATCTATCAGAACTAATTATATTACAGAATGCTTGACCACACAGAAAATGCAATCAGGCTAAGATTAGATTTCTGCCGGTAGCTAAATTAAATCTTTCCCTGAGAGGGAGACATAATATATTGCTTAATCATCAGTTTAGCAATTCCTAAATATTAATTTACCACGAATCATGTGTATCCTGGTGTACAGAGGTTCTTTAAGACCAGTACAACTAAGCAAAGTTGCAGCAATCTCTGGTCAGAAAGGAATTAGTGAGTTCGGAGAAAAAGAAAAGTGAACATGTGTTTAAAGGGATACTGTGATCACCAGAACCACTTAAGCTTAATATATAGTATACAGCTTAATGTAACTATACACATTAATATATAGTATACAGCTTAATGTAACTATACACATTAATATATAGTATACAGCTTAATGTAACTATACACATTAATATATAGTATACAGCTTAATGTAACTATACACATTAATATATAGTATACAACTTAATGTAACTATACACATTAATATATAGTATACAACTTAATGTAACTATACACATTAATATATAGTATACAGCTTAATGTAACTATACACATTAATATATAGTATACAGCTTAATGTAACTATACACATTAATATATAGTATACACATTAATATATAGTATACAGCTTAATGTAACTATACACATTAATATATAGTATACAGCTTAATATATAGTATACAGCTTAATGTAACTATACACATTAATATACAGCTTAATGTAACTATACACATTAATATATAGTATACAGCTTAATGTAACTATACACATTAATATATAGTATACAGCTTAATGTAACTATACACATTAATATATAGTATACAGCTTAAAGGACCACTCTAGGCACCCAGACCACTTCAGCTTAATGAAGTGGTCTGGGTGCCAGGTCCCTCTAGGATTAACCCATTCTTTTATAAACATAGCAGTTTCAGAGAAACTGCTATGTTTATGTTAGGGTTAATCCATCCTCCAAATCCTCTAGCGGCTGTCTCATTGACAGCCGCTAGAGGCGCTTGCGTGATCTCACTGTGAAAATCACAGTGAGAACACGCTAGCGTCCATAGGAAAGCATTATGAATGCTTTCCTATGAGACCGGCTGAATGCGCGCGCAGCTCTTGCCGCGCGTGCGCATTCAGCCAAATGGGAGGATCGGAGGCGGAGAGCTCCCCGCCCGGCGCTGGAAAAAAGGTATGTTTTACCCCTTTCCTCTCCCCAGAGCCGGGCAGGAGGGGGTCCCTGAGGGTGGGGGCACCCTCAGGGCACTATAGTGCCAGGAAAACGAGTATGTTTTCCTGGCACTATAGTGGTCCTTTAATGGAGTTGTCTACTGCTTGTCCCTGCAGGCTTTTTAATGTAAACACTGCCTTTTTAGAGAAAGGCAGTGTTCACATTGCTGCCTGTAACACCTCTAGTGGCAGTCACACAGATGGACACTAGAGGTGCTTTCTGGGTCAGTGCTACACAATGTGCTCTGTATGTAGACGCTGAACACTCCACATAGAGTGCATTGATTTAATACTTCTCTATGGGGAGATGCTGATTGGTGAAGATAGTATTTTGCTTCACATGCACAATAACCTCCCGATGCTTTCCAATTGGAAAGCATTGGATTGTCTGAGATTGTCAATTTTGGGGGTTGAGCCATGCAAAAGAAGACCCGCACAGCGCTGCAAAAAGGTGAGTAAAACACTTTTCAACTTCAGGAAGAGCGGGGCCGGCCACCTCAGTGGCACTATTAGAGCTATAGTGTTTGTATCCTGACACTATAATGTTCATTTATCAGTTTCCACAGCAGAGAGATAAAAAAAGTTGGAGTTGGGAGCCTTATTGATTAATGCAGTGAACTAAAGAAGTATGGAATCATAATGGGGTTTCATTCACTAAAATGTAGTAAATAGAAAATCAAATTGCAAAATATAGCGATATATTTTATATATAAAAGCCAATACGGATTCAGCTTTAATTGTGGTTGCAGTTTGGGGATTTTAGCCTGAAGCTGTGTATTCAATTCACTGCAACTCTGTGTTTAGTGAGTAAACCACGTTGGCAACTTATTTCTATGACAATTATTCTGTGTCTGGAATAGTATTGCAAATCTCCCAGTGATAAGTGCATGCAGAGAAATGAAAATGTCTAGATTTTACACATCGATGAGGATGTGAAGGCTCTGTAGCGGATACTGCTCCTAGGTGGAGATCATGGATCACTTGGCTTTAGCAAACCCTACACGGTCGTTTGCCCGATCAAAGACTGTATAGTACTGTCCAATGAAAACATCCCCGATTATCCACAGGGGTCCTGCTGGAGGTGGGATATCAAGGCCTAGAAGTCCACTGAGACACACGGTTTGGCCAGCCTGGCTCAGCTGTGGGTACAGAGGGGTGTCAGAATGTTAGCATTTATTGTCAAACCACAGATATAAATGCAGATATTGTCTCATATTGAATCACCATTAGTTGTTAGGAACAAAGGACCAATCAAAGTCGTTTAATAGAACAAGAAGCGTTTGAGGATATTAAAAATAAATAAATAAAGGGGGAAGGGGGTGGGCAAAAGGACAGTACAAAAACAAACTAACATAGTGCACAACAAAGGGGTCATTTTAGATATCCACTTGTAACTTGGATGAAAAAATGCAAACATATAGCAGGAACCATAAAACAAGGATCTACTATTTATGTAAATTCAAAGCCATCTGGCCTTTATACAACTACAGCGCATTCAAATTTTGGGGAGGGAAGCAGCAACTTACTTCTATTAAAAATAAACATTTTATATGGTTTTCAATCAATGTGGACACTTTGATTACAAACTTTTCCTTCTTTCGCTTTCCTTTTTGTGATTTGGTTTGAGACTGCCTCTGGCTTTAGTAATATATACCAAAGAGTTGTGGGAGTGGAAACACGAATGGCTCGTATTCAGTGTTAGTAACTTTTACCATTTGGCTGCTGTTAACATTAGTGACTATCATTAGCAAGTCATAATACCCTGCTGAAGAGACGTTTAATGGCTCCCAAAGACTATGTTAAGAAGTGTTAAGCTCATGTTCCCAATGCGTTTCTGTGTTGGTCACTGAGTTTTACCTCACCAAATGTAAATACAACCTACCTCAGCTTGGTGTAAAGATACTTAGTCACATTAACTACTATAAACTCTCCATACTCTCACAAGTGAATCTTCTCTTTCTATTGGCAAAAATCAATAAATAAAACGTGGGGTCACCTGGGATGGCAAAAATACCAGGTAGACCTTTCACTCCAATGACTGCGAGGGAAAACCAACTAACAAAATGGAAGTCACGAGATGTCCTATTGGTTGAAGGAAGGGTAGGGATTGCTCATTGGGTCCCCACTAATTAAAATTTGGATCCTGGAGGACTCTACTTTAAAAACATTATTTATTTTAAAGTGTATTATGTGCCTTCCAGCTCTGTTGTGGAATTGAAAGGGATAATTAGAACGGTGCCCTGGTAAAGTTGCTATGGCAATTAAATGTACCATTTTTCAATTTGCTAAATCCTATTTTGAGTTTAGCATAAGTTGAGGCTGACGTTCGTATCCTGCAGATGTCAAAGGCAGGGGTGAACCTTAGATATCAGTCTGTATTTTCTGGCCACAAATATTTACTATCATTGCTAATTAAAGCCTTCTCTATCTCCACAGTTAAATTCTTCTTCAAATAACTCACGACAGAGAAGAACAAATGAATACTACAGCTCAGAGGATGTGGTCTCTAGGTGCTAGCAAGAGTCCAATTTACTGTCAAAATGTCCCAAAATGGTTGGACATATCCATACACTGAACCATTGTGGTTATGGTTGGTAGTGTCCCTTTAAAAGCTAGTATTATATCTGGAGTACGTTTCAGTCACTGACTTGCCTACTTGCATGGTGTTAATTTGATATTAGCAGCTACGCACATAAACACAATTCTGTTTGTGCTGCTCACACTCAAGCGCCTTGCGCTCCTCACACCAGAGTAAAGACTAAGCCATCCTCACATATTCACCTTCAGTACATACTGCTCCCCTGTCAAGGTGTACGCCTTCCCTCCAAAGCTGAAGGTGATCGCAGGTAGTGATGGAATTTTACTACAAATAATCATGTACTGCAAAGTGAGGAGAGAATAAACACATTGGTTAGTTACATCCACATTGCCTTAAACCAGAGGCACATTATTCCCTGCCACAGGTCAAGAGAACCATGTGACATGTGAAACTGGTACAAATGTTCATCGAAATGTGGACGGATCGTTCTAACTGCTCTGGATAAAGTATTGTTTGTTTTTTAAAGTTCCCACATGACTATTGTCTGTTACGTGAGGCATGGATCTCCAAGGCAGGAAGAGTTGAGTTCCAGTTTCCATTTTGAAACCAAGAAATGTTATATAGAACGTCTGAGCCCCATCTCCTTGACAGGTCATTCGGAGATTAGAACGCGCCTTGCACAGTCTGCTACGTTAAATATACCACTTCCAGTTATCTTATAAAATAGAACATTAGGTCTATACAAAGTTCTTGAAGCAGTGTTATAGGTCAATTGGAATCTCAATGTAGAACTAAAAAAACACAATGGCTGCTTTCCTAATCTAGTCCTTCTCTGTTACAGATCACAATAATGCAGTTGTGTGTACATGCACAAAATACTGGCTGAAAGGACAAATACATTTTTCTCAACGTAGTTATTCACTAGATCTGTCAAGGTATACATTCTTTTAAGAATTGACTTCATAGATTACAGGTTGATCAATTATAATGTGTCATTATTTGGTTCCTCTGCATTCACTAAAATCGAACTGGTCTGCTGAGGCACACTTTTCATTTAAACTACATCAAAGATGCTTTGTTACATTACGGAGTACGGAAATTATGTCTATATTTATTAAGTACCTTTTAAGAGGGGAAGGCAACCTGCGGCGTCTCCCCTGATGCTTTGCCAGATTTATGCAGTGCTTAGCCAACATCCGGAATGCCGAAGGTTGCCCACCTCTGGACTAGCTCCACACCCTGCACCACTCACATGCCAGTATTCGCCAACTTCATGCAGCATAACAATATGGTACTTGTTTTATTACATGAAAGGTGATCTAGAAGACATTCTCACCTCTCCACTGAATAATGGGATGGCTCCAATTGCTTTCTGTATTGCTCTCACTTCTTCCACTGGCCCAGCAATCAGGGAGGTTCCCGTGTCCACAATAGCCTCACAGCCGCCTTTACAGACAGTGAGCTGATCTCCAACTGCCACCCTGCAAGACGAGAGACAGGACTTTATAGCCTCTGGGGGCGTAACATAGAGGGGAGAGTTAACAGTCCAAAAGGTCGTGTTTCAGGTGCTGCAGAACTACAACGTCCATGATGCTTTTCCAGATTTAATTTTGGCATAGCATTGTGGGAGGTGCAGTTCTTCATTTGAGGATCTACCTTCAGCCTCCCCGGTAGAAATGCCAAAGGGATAAGCAGATATGAACAAGCTGATAGACCAACAAACGAAAAGGCTTGTGAAGTGTTACAGGAGGGGGCGATGCATACAAAGTGTCCGTTTCCATTTCACATTGAGCCAGTATCGGGCACATGCAATATTTTCTTATGTGTAAAGCCATTACTCTACTGTGATGATTTTACCACTAATTATAGCCACAGAATAAAGACAAAGGAGTAATATCAGGGGAAAAACGTGTCACACAGGCAGACAACGCGAAACCTCCCAGGGTTACTTACTGATCCATACGTATCTGCCAGTATGCCTTGCGGGTCACATTCATGTAATTGAAGTCTCCGGTATAATATTTAGGGTCTGTGCCACCTAGTAACAGTTCTCCGCCAGGCTGAGAGGCCGGGTCACTAAATACAAAGATAGATTTTGTATCGTTTAGCTGGAAATGGCTGTAACCATAACTCCCATTTGGAGATGTCTATGTGCCATGTCAAATAAAATATTTTCTGTTACATGAAAGGTGATGGCACTCCGTAATATATACTTTCAAAAAAACATGCTGTGTTATACATTAAATGTGCAAAGAAAACATGCATTATTTTACTGTAACACAATGCAAATGGCGGAAAAAATTCGATGTCAATCCTTTTCAGTCACCATATCTGTGCACAAAAATAGATTTCATGTTTTATAACTGTACAACTCAACCTAGGAAATGAGAAAACAAACTTTAAAAAAAAATATCCTCCGTAAAACGCCTTCTAGTTTTTTTTTTTTTAATACTTTCATTAGTCCCTGGCCTTATCTTATAGTTAGGATAGCCTTATGCCTATCCCACGCATGCTTAAACTCCTTTACTGTGTTAACCTCTACCACTTCAGCTGGAAGGCTATTCCATGCATCCACTACCCTCTCAGTAAAGTAATACTTCCTGATATTATTTTTAAACCTTTGTCCCTCTAATTTAAGACTATGTCCTCTTGTTGTGGTAGTTTTTCTTCTTTTAAATATAGTCTCCTCCTTTACTGTGTTGATTCCCTTTATATATTTAAATGTTTCTATCATATCCCCCCTGTCTCGTCTTTCCTCCAAGCTATACATGTTAAGATCCTTTAACCTTTCCTGGTAAGTTTTATCCCGCAATCCATGAACCAGTTTAGTAGCCCTTCTCTGAACCCTCTCTAAGGTATCAATATCCTTCTGAAGATACGGTCTCCAGTACTGTGTACAATACTCCAAGTGAGGTCTCACCAGTGTTCTGTACAATGGCATGAGCACTTCCCTCTTTCTACTGCTAATACCTCTCCCTATACAACCAAGCATTCTGCTAGCATTTCCTGCTGCTCTATTACATTGTCTGCCTACCTTTAAGTCATCAGAAATAATCACCCCTAAATCCCTTTCCTCATATGTTGAGGTTAGGACTCTATCAAATATTCTGTACTCTGCCCTTGGGTTTTTACGTCCAAGATGCATTATCTTGCACTTATCCACATTAAATGTCAGTTGCCACAATTCTGACCATTTTTCTAGTTTACCTAAATCATTTGCCATTTGGCTTATCCCTCCTGGAGCATCAACCCTGTGACATGCCACCTCGTGTCTCTAGGCCAACTTGCCATATTTTACTCACTTAAACCACTTCAGTAAACGCATGGTTTGCTTGTTCTTATTGTCCTCTGAGCAGGATTCTATATATTAACATCAACCAAGTGTGAACACTTCTGTTCTTTTACAGTGTTCCCTATGGGGCGCTCAACCTATTAATAAATGCCTGATAAACCTAATATTAATTTCTTGTAAGTGGGACTTTATTGTGGTTCTATGTTTCAATGTATGCACTGTATCTCACAGTAGTAGCCCCAGGGAATATGATCTAATAAAGATTCTAAGCAACACTATCAAATCGAAACATTGTAATGTGCTGCTCATGGACTTTACCGGTTCAGATAGAAGGAAAATAGATTGTTGTCCACCAGTTTCTGCTCCATGATATCATCAAACACAGTGGGGGCACCATCTACAGAGATCCGAGGGTAGCCCATGCCCAGAATGCCATCAAACTTGGCTGCCACAAATGTGATACCAGGCTGTTTGATGGCTTCGGCAAAAAGCTGTTTCTTTACAGCCAGGTTACCAATCTATGGAACAAAACAAAAATTTGACAAAGCATGGGGGTCTTCTGCAATACTGGGATACATAGTCCTTTAAACTTTAGCATCCATAGATATATATATAAAAAACTATATTAAGTTATGAAGCTCTAGTATTTAATATTAATCTTCATTCAGTTTCAAATTCAAGTGGTAAGCTTTGCTGACTTGTTGATCTTTACAAATCAGCACGGGCCACAATAATAAAAAATATAAAAATTTGCAAGGAAGTTTCGGAGATGTTCTGAGTTTGTTAAGGCCAGCCACATGGGGTAGGGGTGTAAGTTACGAAGAGACCAGACAGTAAGTACACAGACTATATGATAACTATCAAGAGGCACATCACCTAAATAGTCTTAAAATATGGAGGGGAATATGGATAGCAACTCTATCTTAATATTTCACCCAGCAGTATGGGCTTACTCTGATGAAACGCACGTGTCAGGGTCTGGAAGTGTTCCTCCTGAGACCAGTGCTGGATGAAAACATGAAGATACACGTGGACCAAATACTTTTCACGAACACCTAGCTTTACATTGATACATTTTATCAATTATAAAATGTATAATTATTGATCTTTACGATCTTATGTGATTCATGTTTATCCATCCCTACTTGTACTGTATCTATTAGTATATTGACTTCCTGTTTTCAACGTGCTGGGGGGGGCATAGTTTAACATGTTAATTATTAAGTGGGGTGCCCTGGGAGGCGCGATAGGGTTACTTATTACGTTTATTTCACATCCTCTGTCTCTCAGGCATCACTATATTCAAAATATGTATCACTGATTTTGACTACCTGCATTTTGGCAGGCTCTACTTGCAGATGTTACAGTTGTAACCGAGTTTTGGTAACAATCTATCACTTTGTATATTATTTAGGGTAACTACTAGTTTCAATAGAGTGTGCAATGTGGATACTTTACAGTTGTAACAGTTGTTTTAGTTCCAATTTATCATATTGTATATCTCTGCTACCTCTAATAGAGTAAGCCCATACTGCTGGCTGAAATATTACGATAGAGTTGCTATCCCTATTCCCTCCCACATCCTGATATAGTTATCACAGTCTATATTACCTACCACACTTGGAATCCGATCATTTAGTTTGGGCAATACATGTCACGATTTTCCGATGGCAATTTGATTATTTTATTGGTATTTATTAAAGGTGAAGTTTTAAACTATTTAGTTCTTCTTTATATATCTTCCATTCCCTTTCTTCTTTTTGTAATTAGGATATTCAGTGGTTACCACCCACCCGTGAGTGTTTCGCATGGCATGGGCACTTTTATGGTTTTACTTTACATGTAGAATGTGGCATAGGAGAAAAGTTAGGCAGGCTGCTGGGCGTATGGAATACATATGGTTAAGGTGGAGATTTAATAGCCACAGTCACTAAACAGAGAGGATAAAAATCAAACAGGAGAGCGCAACTATATTATTATTAAATTAAAACTGCATAAAATATCTTGAGATAAAAATAATATAATCAAGCCGCTATACACAAAATAAAGTTCCTTAAAATCTTTACCTAAATAATGTTTGCAAAATGAGTGTCAACGCTATGTTTGATAACCTTACAATAGGCGATCAATAGGAGTATGGAAACCAACAACTTATAACTGTGGATTCATAGTATACACATCAGACCATATGTACCACAATAAGTGTGATTACACACACACACAAAAATATAAAACTTGCTCAAGGGTCCAAAAAGTCTTTAAAGGGTTAATCTTGTCTTGCAGTTGAGATGTAACATCTATGGATACACTGGATTTTATTCATATAAAACAAGATTCCCTCTCCCCCAAATAAAAACCCTTACATCAGCAGGTGGTGGTACTCGTCTCCAAGATGCCACATATAAACTTAAATGACAGCCGTTTACCGTCCACAGTCGTTGCAGTGCTAAATCCCACCCGATCTCATCGCTGATAAGGCAGAGTGTTTGTGCAGACAGGAGACTGTAGCTTGGAATCGATGTGTGCCAGGCTGTGATCCTCAGACCTCTAAACGGCTGTCATTTAAGTTTATATGTGGCATCTTGGAGACGAGTACCACCACCTGCTGATGTAAGGGTTTTTATTTGGGGGAGAGGGAATCTTGTTTTATATGAATAAAATCCAGCGTATCCATAGATGTTACATCTCAATTGCAAGACAAGATTAACCCTTTAAAGACTTTTTGGACCCTTGAGCAAGCTTTATATTTTTGTGTGTGTGTGTGTGTGTGTAATCACACTTATTGTGGTACATATGGTCTGATGAATCCACAGTTATAAGTTGTTGGTTTCCATACTCCTATTGATCGCCTATTGTAAGGTTATCAAACATAGTGCTGAAACTCATTTTGCAAACTAAACAGAGAGGGTTGTGGGAAACGGATTTCCCCCCTCCTGGACAGTAATAAAACATGTAGATTCGTTAGTATCCCAGTGGCAGCAGAGGATCTGGGCACAGGATGCTGGGACAACCTTAGATTTGACAAATCTCTCCAAAAAAAACTAAAAAAGTTTGACAAAAATCTTGAGGGTTACACCCAAAGCTCCCTAACACCATAACAACTATTAGTGCCTTTAAACAGACACTAAACATTAAACGAGAAAAGTAAGAAAAAGTTATTTTTTAAAGAGCATCAAGGTTTCTGATAAAACTCGTAGGAGGACCATCTTGGTTTTAAGTGCTCACCGTCACAGTGTCTTCGCTCAGGTACCCAGAGAGGCTTCCACTGCCGTACTGGATGGAGAATTCTGTGCCATTCTTCACGTAGGTGGAGGATTTAGTATCATCATATTTATGATGCACCACTGAGGACAAGAAAATCACTTCAAATCTACATTTGAATGACTGTTTTGTTTGTTTTACATACAGCGTACACATTTCACATACAATGGCGATTGACTCTCCTACAAAGGCTGAATTTTCCCAGTCTAAAAAAGATGAAACCGGAAATAATAAATTTTTTAATTATTTATTATTTTTAACAAATTATATTATATTATATTTAGCAAATAAAATGAGTTATATCTCTGTCGTGGCTCTGGAGAACAAACAGTGTCAGTTTGTACTAAAGGAGATCCACAGAAATAGCACTGGGATCCAATTTCCAGGTCTGATATAAGGATTAAAGAAAACCTGTTAAATAGAATTAGTAACATAAATACTTACCAAACCCCTCCTCCCCCATGTCTTGAAATGAAGATACAGCGTTTTTTTGTGCTACCTCCTTTCCAAATGTTCCAGCGTCGCAATTAGCCCGCCTTCTTGAGCATGGGACCTCTTTTTATCCTTGCCTCTCTAGGAGAATGCCTATGATAGCATACCCAACGCCTGGAAACCCTTCTGCTGACGTTGATGTATGCACAGTGTGTAGGACCTATTGCATCACTTGCCAAGTCTTCAGAGAAGATGCTAACATTGCACATGCACACTAAGCAACATTAAAGCCCTTTAAGGACCAAACTTCTGGAATAAAAGGGAATCATGACATGTCACACATGGCATGTGTCCTTAAGGGGTTAAAGCCCCAATGGAGGAGAGCTTGTAGGCGTGCTCTCATGAAGCGAGACCTCCGCAACGAATGACAAGAGTTTGACTGCCGGGTGGTTTTATATTGAAAAGGCTATACATTTGCTAGGACCACTGCTTTAAGTTAAATAAACAAATCATGGAAAGATTTTTCATTAAAATTGTGGAACTTTTAGGCCAAAAGATTTGAGCTGGGAAAGAGGCAGTTTGCCTGGTTTGGCCTGAAATATTCAGTTGTTTTGTCAATTGTCCAAAATGAGTTCAGTGAATAGATCCCACACAAATATTGAAATAGGCGAACAAACAAACATGGCTCCATTATGGCGTTTATTCACTGAGCACCAACTGCAAACTGTAAAGAGAATTGAAAAACCAAGGCTGCAACGTGTCAATATAGAGGAGTTTACCAGTTAACCTAGTTCTGCCTTAATCTATTATTCACAATGATTCGATGTTCAGTAAGTGAACCATATTGATGGAAAGGACTATTAAAGGCAGTCAGACCGGCTAACATAAGTCAATAACGTCATAGTGCTTCTGGCATTGGATATTAATTACATTTTTAATAATGTTATCAGTTATATTATTATTAATATAGCGCCATCACATTCCGTAGCGCTGTACAATCAGTTATATCTAAATTCCACATACTGCTCCTCTAATCAATAGCTTTGGCACAGTAATGTTCGTCTGAAGCCTTCTAGCACTTGTTTAAACACGCAGAGAATTTTGGGAAATATATGACGTAGACTTCCATCTAAAGCATCGTTTATAGGTCAATAATTTGGTTTAATAAGCAGGTCCTACTGTATTGATGCTCCTGAAATAAGTTGAAGAGAGCCAACACCCAAGCCAACTTTAATTCACAAGTAACATCCCTATGTTTGATGAGATGGTTCAAGTAAAACATGTCTAGCAAGTATTGTCACCTGCTGTACTAACACCAGCTAACCTGTACAGACTGCATACCGTCAGGCTGACGTTTAATTCAACGCAAACTCACTATTATTCACTAAAGTGAGAATTCAAAATCAAAGTGTAAAGAGACACTATCGCCACCAAAGCAACTTTAGCTTAATGAAGCAGATTTGGTGTATAGTTCATGCCCCTGCAGTCTCACTGCTCAATTCTAGGACAGTTAGGAGTTAAATCACTTTTGTTTCTATTTATGGAGCCCAAGCTGTGACGGACACAGCCTGCATGAAAAAAATTGTTTCATTTTTAATTAGATGTTACAGCACATTGTGTTTACTTTTATCTGTAGTTTTGTCAACTAAGTGTTAATCACACCCAGGTGGTGCCTGCAGGCTCTACCAGGTTATAAACAGAAATGTGTAGGAAGACTATGTAGGCCACATGCAGGGGAGGTGAGACTAGGGCTGCATAGACCAACTGACTTAACTCCTCAAGGACAGAACATTGAGTGGAAACAAACAAATAACAAACAGACACAAAACAACAGTATCAGAGACAGTGGGGAGAGCGGCTCGGAGCATAGCAGGTGAGGAACTGGATTGCTGGAGTGAGCAGCACTGTTCCAACAGGTTGGGGATTCTAGAAAAGAAGCCAGGAGATTGCAAACATGTTATTAGTGCTGTCTAACCTAGAGATTGCAGGATTTTTGGGCTGTCATTTTGAGGGCTCTGATCTAATAAAACGTCCACTTAGTACAAAAGGATACCTTAACGCATTATGATTATGATCTGCAGCATCTATTTAAGATAAAATATCCCAGTCTTGTCTCAGTGGAGCCCAGTAAGTTACTTACAGCAGGCAATGTCCACTATTGAGCAGTGTATTGATGGTACCCACAGGTTAGAAGATCCCGTGTCAAATATCACCATAAATTTCTGGGGAGGAGTCCCGATTCCAATCTCTCCATAATACTGTGCCTGAGTGGGAAGAAAACGTAAAGACCAAGTTAGCCAGTTATAGTGCTTTGCGGACATAAATAAATATTGATAAGAGAATACATCCCAGGGCTTTACACTTATTGGATATGTAAAAGTATGCAAACACTGGGTTGGATGGGTTGAAGTGGTTATGGTGTCTGTAGCCCGTGGGCACTGGGTCTCGCATTTACTACTAACAGTTCACTAAAGTCTCAAAAGATGAATAGTGGCATAACTATGGTCTGCTTCACACCATACCTTGGGTAGCAGGCAGTGATAGTTTGGGAAATTTTGGCTCTCTCTTGTATCACTTGGTACGGTGCAAGGTGTACAGCCAAGCTTCAGACGGCCTGGGACCGAGAATGTCTACTAAAGAGTGAGTGAACAGAAATGTAGGACAAAGCACCCATGGACTCCAAACACCATAACCACTTTAATTCATTGACGTGGGTATGGTGCCAGTATTGTTCCGTAAACCTATGCAGGAGTAAGACACCACAGAGATTGCTGAATTAGTGACACTAACCCAAAACTTAATGGTTTTGCCTCTGCAGAATGGTAGCAGCAACGTTTCAGATGTTAAAGGAGCCATATAGGGTCAGGAACACAAACATGTATTCCTGACCCTATAGTGTTAAAACCACTATCTAGCCCCCTTGGCCTCCCTAAAGATAGTAAAATCTTACTTGTATTCAAGTCTGAAGCTGCTGCCTCTGCCAGTGAACTTCCTCTGACCTCTGACACATTCAGAAGTGGTGGCCTGATCCAATCACAATGCTTCCCCATAGGATTGGCTGAGGAGACTGACAAGGAGGCAGATCAGGGGCAGAGCCAGCACAATTCAAACACAGCCCTGGCCAATCAGCATCTCCTCATAGAGATGAATTGAATCAACGTATTTGAGGAAAGTTCAGTGTCTGCATGCAGAGGGAGGAGATACTGAATGTTTGGATGCATTTTAGGCAGCCATAACCCAGGAAGGATCTCTAACAGCCATCTGAGGAGTGACCAGTGAAGTTATCACTAGGCTGTAATGTAAACACTGCATTTTCTCTGAAAAGACAGTGTTTACAGCAAAAGGCCTGAAGGTACTGATTCTACTCACCAGAACAAATTCAATAAGCTGTAGTTGTTCTGGTGACTATAGTGTCCCTTTAAGTTCCCATGATCCTCTGCTATGTAGCATTTAACCAAAACTCAACAATGTGTGAAGAGTTGCCATATATAGGTTCTACTAGACATTGGTATATTGTTCACCAAGTCACCCATGAAACGCCCACCAATGCTTACATCAAGGTAGTTCAGCAAGGTTTCTGGTGTGGGACTACCAGCCTGGGGAAAGGCAGAGATAAATTTTTGATTCCCCTGGTCAGAAATCAATTTCCGCAAGTCCCCACTTGCTTCCGACATTGTACGGCGAATTGACTGGAACTTCTTTAGGGGAATCCTGTGGATAAAATAGGAGACATTGAATGCATCGCTTTGTGCAAATCATTATGACAGAAGGGCTTTCCTGCACTTATAAATAAACTTTAAGGAACACTACAGGGTCAGGAACACAAACATTTATTACATCTAACACAAACATGTATCCCTGACCCTATAATGTTAAATCCACTATCTAGCCACTCCCCCCCCCTTGCCTCCCTAAATATAGTCAACTCTTACTTGGATTTAAGTCTGTTGCTGCCTCTGCCCCTAATCTGCCTGTTTGGCTGAAACCATCAGAAGTTATTCTCTGAGCCAATCACAGTGCTTCCCCATAGGATTGGCTGAGACTGTCAAGGAGGCAAATCAGGAGCAGAGCCAGCACAAGCCAAATACAGCCCTGGCCAATCAGCATCTCCTCATAAAGATACAGTGAATCAATGCATCTCTATGAAGAAAGTTCAGTGTCTGCATGTAGAGGGTGAAGACACTGAATGTCAGTCACACTGTGCAGCAATGCCCCAAGAAGCACCTCTAGTAGCCATCTGAGTAGAGACCAGTGGGGGTATCACTAGGCTGTAATGTAAACACTGCCTTTTCTCTGAAAGCACAGTATTACTGCAAAAAAAGCCTGAAGGGAATGATTATACTGACCAGAACAAATGCAATAAGCTGTATACTGTACATTATGCTGTATACTATACAATACTCTGTATTGGTTCTGGTGACTCTAGTATCCCTTTAAAGCTGCCATTAGCAGTGTTGTGTTTATAGATTCACCTCCATTTATTGTTTAGTGGGAAAATATAAGATAGCATTCAGCCAGTAAGTATTCAGTGAAAGTTCTTTCTCCTCCAGCACTGGAGCAAACCGGGTCAACAGTTCCAAAGTTCTGGATCACAGCAGGTATACTCTCATTACATGGGAGGTCGGTGCCTGCTAATATGATCATATGCTCTGTGGTTATAGTAGGAGTGTTTGGGTATTCCGAGACATCCAACACCAGTCTGAACTTTTAAAATCATTATGTTTACAGAAAACAAAGATACACCTGTGAATAAGGAAGCCAGGACTAGGCAGGGAAATAAAGGGAAAAAAACACATTAATAGATGTATTGATCATGCCCCTACAGTCTCACTGCCATTTAGGAGTTAATCACTTTGTTTATGCAGCCCTAGGCACACCTCCCTGCATGTGACTTGCACAGCGTTCCTAAACACTTCCTGGAAAGAGTCATCTAATGTTTATACTTCCTTTATTGCAAATTCTGTTTTATTTAGAATTTCTTATCTCCTGCTCTGTTAATAGCCTGCAGGACCCTCCTGTGTGAATAAAGTCTAATGTACAGAGCAGGAGATAAAAACATTTGAATTGAGTTAAAAATGAAACCATTTTGTTTTCATGCAGGCTGTGTCAGTCACAGCCAGGGGAAGTGTGCCTACGGCTGCATAAACAGAAACAAAAGTCATTTATATCCTAAATGGCAGAGAATTAAGCAGTGAGACTGCAAGGACATTATCTGTACACCAAAACTGCTTCATTAAGCTAAGGGTGTTTTAGTGACTATAGTGTCCCTTTAAAGGAAACCCTGAACTCCTCCCAGAGCGCTGGATTGATTTGTGTTCAGGAGCAAAAACGTTCCCAACTGAGGATCCTGCAGCTTTGCATGATGCAGTGTATTTACATTAGAACAACATTAGCGGTCATTACCGGCACACATGCATCTTCATCTCCTTCGATCATGCTGCCAGTAAAAGCAGAAAGATCTTCAGTTGGGGAAGTACTGCTGCTAAACAATGATCACTTAAATAGCAGCACACAGGAAGAGAACGGTTTTCCTGTGGGAGAGTGGATTCCAACCAGTGTGAAATGAAAGCACGGAACTGTAAATATCATTTGTTTTCTTAAAAGGACCACTATAGTGTCCTGAGGGTGCCCCCACCCTCAGGGTCCCCCTCCCGCCGTGTTGTAGGGTGAGGAAGTGGTTAAACGTACCTCTTTCTCCAGCGCCGGACGGGGAGCTCTCCTCCTCCTCTCCGCCTCTTCAGCTGAATGCGCAGCAGGAGCAGCATGCGCATTCAGCCAGTCCATAGGAAAGCATTCACAGCACGGAAGTCTTAGCGCGGAAGCGCCTCTAGCGGCTGTCAATGAGACGGCCACTAGAGGCTGGATTAACCCTAATATAAACATAGCAGTTTCTCTGAAAAGGGTTAATCCTAGCTGGACCTGGCACCCATTAAGCTGAAGTGGTCTGGGTGCCTAGAGTGGTCCTTTAAACAATGAATCAAAACAAGTATCTTTGGTTAGAAGTATGCGCTCCCTAGAAAGGTTTCCAATAAACGTGACATGTATAAGCTGCCAATGAAAGCAAGAAAAGGAATATTTTATCATAACAAATTGTACCTGGGTCCAAAAATAAACAAAACGGCTGGAAAACACCAGATTCTCACTCGCTATAAGCAGGGGTGTAAAATTTTAACACGATCTAAAGTACGTGTTTGACAAGCAAGTGACTGATAAAGGAAACTATCAGAGTTATTCAATAAACGCCGGATGAAAATATCTGAATTTCAACTGGAATAGCAATTGTCACAATTCAGCCAGCGTGAACAAATCTGCATTAACTGGCTGGATTAAAATCACTTTTTTTTAGGATTCAGAAAATTCAGGACACACCAGTCTAAGAGAAGAAGAAAAAGAAATATATATTTTAGGAGCAAATGTATCTGGCAGTATGAAGCTTTACAAATGGTCTAACTGGCTTTTTTGCCAGCGCTAGCAGCCAGTGGGCACGTAGTTAACCCTTGGCGGTGAAAGGGTTACCCAAGTGGCAGCTGGCTAGCGCTTGCTATCCAGCAGCAAAATTAAAAAGTAATAAGCCTCTAAGGGTCAATATGACGTCCCTTATCCCATATGTGTCCAGTAACCAGAAAACACTACGTCATTATCTAAAGTGTGACATATTGACTGAGTGCTCACAGTGAGCCCCTCAGTAACACTACGTATTATGCAATACCTGGGCAGAGCTATTCTACACACGTATATAACTAAAGGTCGCCCGGTATAAGTACTTTCTGTGAATGATTTACATTAACAGTCTTCATTCAGGTTGTGAAATGTCTAATTAGAGCTTCACATATTCACTTACTTGTGCAAACATTCCATCAGAACTATTTACCCCACCTGGTGGCCAACCTCACTATTACACGTTACTTACAGATTAACCCCTGATGTCATGACACTATTACTGATATGGGTTAATGCGTACCCTTCCCCCCTATATCCTGTGTCTCTCCCCCCCCCAGTCCCCTATATCCGGTGTCCCCCCAGTCCCCTATATCCTGTGTCCCCCCCAGTCCCCTATATCCTGTGTGTCCCCCAGTCCCCTATATCCTGTGTCACACTACACAGTTGATTGAGTAATGTCAGGATGCTCTATTATAACAGCTGGCCTTTGATCCTGATTTGTATCTTCTTCTTGTCGTCGTCCCCAGTCCCCTATATCCTGTGCCCTCCCCCAGTCCCCTATATCCTGTGTGTCCCCCCCAGTCCCCTATATCCTGTGTGTGTGTCCCCAGTCCCCTATATCCTGTGTGTCCTCCCCCAGTCCCCTATATTCTGTGTGTGTCCCCCAGTCCCCTATATCCTGTGTGTGTGTCCCCAGTCCCCTATATCCTGTGTGTGTGTCCCCCAGTCCCCTATATCCTGTGTCACACCACACAGTTGGATTGAGTAATGTCAGGATGCTCTATTATAACAGCTGGCCTTTGATCCTGATTTGTATCTTCTTCTTGTCAGCCGTCCCCAGTCCCCTATATCCTGTGTGTCCTCCCCCAGTCCCCTATATTCTGTGTGTGTCCCCCAGTCCCCTATATCCTGTGTGTGTGTCCCCAGTCCCCTATATCCTGTGTGTCCCCAGTCCCCTATATCCTGTGTGTCCCCCCCAGTCCCCTATATCCTGTGTGTGTGTCCCCAGTCCCCTATATCCTGTGTGTCCTCCCCCAGTCCCCTATATTCTGTGTGTCCTCCCCCAGTCCCCTATATCCTGTGTGTCCCCCCCAGTCCCCTATATCCTGTGTGTGTGTCCCCAGTCCCCTATATCCTGTGTGTCCTCCCCCAGTCCCCTATATTCTGTGTGTGTCCCCCAGTCCCCTATATCCTGTGTGTGTGTCCCCAGTCCCCTATATCCTGTGTGTGTGTCCCCCAGTCCCCATATTCTGTGTGTCCCCCCAGTCCCCCATATCCTGTGTGCCCCCCCCAGTCCCCCATATCCTGTGTGTGTCCCCCAGTCCCCCTGTGTGTCCCCCTCCCCCAGCCCCCCATATCCTGTTAACACCTTATCTTTGTGACTGTCTTAATGCAGTTTGAACATTACTAATTGATCCATGTATTCCTATCCTGCCTGATACCATGAGCTACAGCACAACTACAACTCCCATGATGCCTTGCCACCCATGGGAGCTGCCTCACCTCATTAAAGCCGAGTCTGGCTGGATCAGGGAGCACAGCAAGAGACTCCATAATAGCAGGGCCCCCATCATGGTCTGCTTCCTGGAACAAGGCAATGCTCTGCAGCCCCAGTCAGGTGATCAGTCAGCTGACTCTGCCCTCACATGGGAGAGGG